TCTGTTCTCTCCCGCTGCCCCCGCCCTGCTTCTTGTGTGTGTGTGTGTGTGTGTGTGTGTGTCTATAAGTAGAGATCCAGGTTCGGGGTGGATCGACAGCCCCAAAGAAGTGCCTTTCCCCACACGGTGCTCCTTGCGGCAGCCCCTTCAACCCTCTGAAAGTGCTGCACCGAGGGTCGCCTGAACAGGGCGAGCTTTGGTGAATGTGCATGGGAGGGAAAGTCTTCCAAAACCAAGCAGAGCGACCCGCTGTGAGTGGAGTCCTTCTGCAAACTGAAGGTGCCTTCTTCTTGCAGATGGCAGACCCCACGGTCAAACAACAGTGAGCGGAGCTTGCCTGCTGCAGGCACAGGGGTGCTTCCCCTGCCACCACCATGGGGATGCCCGTGGCCAGGCGAAGCGGAGGCTCCACGCAGGCCCTGCCGTCCCGCTCGCTGACCTGCATTCCTGGCATCCATTGGCAGTCTCTGCAAGACCCCAGAGCCCTTCCTCTGCTATGAGCCAGGCTCTGAGCGGGGCTGGGGGCCACTGCCACAAATTGCTCCAAAGGCTGGCAATGCCGAGTCCCGGCCGGAACCACTTTGGCATCCGCAGCTTGCATTCCCCAAGCTGGTGCCCTCCCGATGTGGTGGACTCCCAGTGTTCCCCAGCAAGCTATACAGTCTGGGTGTGCTGTGAGTTGTGGTCCTATCAATGCTCTGGGGCATCAGCACATTGCAAAGGTGTGCGCGAGTCTTTAGTGACTGAGTGAACAAACTTCCTTAGATCTGTAATGCACGCACATTAGTTTTGGATCATAAATCCTCAGGCTTTGGGCCTTAGCAAACCCTTTTCTTGCGGGGGAGGGATGTTTCCTAATGCATCCTAAAAGCCACCCTGCCATCCTCCAAAGAACTATTGAGCCAACCAGGATACGCTCGTGTAGGTCAGTGCTTGCATTACGCATTGGAATGGGGGCAGGGGGGGAGGCCAGACTGCTTGCGTGACCTTCAACACGCCGAAAGTGTTGCAAGCCAGAAAACTCGCAAACTCTGTGGGGGCTGGACTGGGAGAATCCAGCGAAGTCTTGCAGTTCATTGATAAGGAGCTAATTGCCTGGAGGCAGGTGGAATGGACCTCTCTGTGAAAGATCATCGCGAGCTGGGCTGGGTTCCATGGACTGACATCTCTACCTCGTTTTTGTACTACAGAAAATAAAAGTTTCGGTTCTCCTTCCATGTGCCTCTCACTTTAAGCACATATTACAAGTGTGCGTGCACACACTTGTAATATCTAGCCTCCTAAACACTCCTTTCTTCGAGAAACGGAGAGGACCCATTTCCACTAGTCAACAGTCTTCCCAGGGGGCTGAAAACAAACCTGCCCTGCATGTCAGTTTCTCATATCCAGAAGCATGCTCAGTAGCAAATACACATTTGCACCGATTTTCAAAGCTTTTCACTTATTCCTTGGCACTAAAAACAGCTTTCAGTGTCTGACCTGAGTGGCCAGGAGCACGTGGGGTTAGGCAGTGGGGGAAGAGACTGGAGCCTCAAGAAAAGTGTATTTTTATGAAGTCTGGTTAAAAGAAATCTGATCTGCTCCCACGCCGTTCTTAATGAGGTCTCATCCATTGTCTTTCTCCCCATCACACGTGCTTTGTTAACCCTTCTTATGTCAACTGATATATTTAGAGTAATTTCATTATTTTTCTTTCGCAGCTTCGTGTTTCTTGGCACTTTTAAAGTGTTTCCTTTAAAAGCCACGCAACACACAAGGGGAGATGGTGAAACCAGCCACATGCTTCCTTCCCAAATCATTCACTGTTAACTGCTTTGTGAAAAAGCGACAATTTATGGGAAAGGTGGAGGGGAGAGGGGTGGGAGAACCTTGCTCCCCAAAGGGTGCATTTTCCAAAAGACCAGCAGGTGGCGGTCTAAGCATGGGGGATTCCCAGCAGCTGCAGGTGAATTGAAAGAAGGAAAACTTAAAGGGGGTCAAATTTTTTGGCCTCAAAAGCTGGTGGAAAGAAAGAACTACCCTTAGTGCCCCACAGAATTCGCCTCTCATGTAAACGGTCCCTGCTTAGGGTTCACATGTAAAATAATTTTCATAGTTCTATGATGGATTTTTTTTTGAGGGCCCTGGAGAGTTTAGGATGAATACAGGATGGGGAATGGAAGGTTATTTAAATAGGCTACACGTGTCGCACTTCCAGTTTGGGATTTGGTCTCTACCAGGATATTCCCAAAGAAAATGGATTCTGGTCAGCAGCCTTTCTGTCAGAAGCTGGATTTCCCCTGCCCCCTTTGTAAATTGCTTTGGCGGTACAGAAAAGGCGGTACAGAAAATTGATTAACACCATCACTCTAACAGTAACAATAATGCGTGTGTAGAATAATCTATACCTGGCAGACTAGGTTATTTGTGAGTCGCGTGGCCTATCAGGCAATCAGTCATGTTAGTTAACATGTTAGTTAAGACTGGAATCCCTTCCTTCATTTCACGGATGCCACCAAAGGGGTGTCCTGCCACATGCCCCATTAAAACTCTCCAAGCTTGGACCCCAGCCCCACATGCCCTGGAGCCACTGGAAACCCAGAGTCCCTGGGGGCTGGAGGACAACTCCCAGGGCCTCTGTCTGCGGTCATTTGCATGGAAGCTGCGGCTCCGTTGATGTCCTTGGGCTGGGAGTCAGACCCATGGGCTTCTTCCAGCACCGTTCTGTGCAAGTCCGCTCAGTCGCGAGTCCCACCCGGTGCAAAGGAGCCTCCTCCCAGGTGAATGGGGCGACTGACTGTGCTTGACTGGGCAGGCGGTTCGATTGTAAGCTCTTATTTGCGCACACGCAGACGGCCCGCAAAGTTCGGATGGATTCATCCGAATGAATCGCCCCCTCCACCACGCAACATTGCGGGAGGCACCCAATCGCCCCCTGGGGCCAGAAGAGCACTAGCCGGCCTGGCTCTGACAGGTTTACGTTAAGCTATGCAGAGCAGCTGGGCAATTTGCATCCAAGGACCTGCAACCTGGATCCTGGGCAGAGCACGTGGCTGCCATGGTCTGACTAAGGTTGCGCATGAATTCACCTTACAGCTACATGTGTGATTCCATCAGTTCCATACATGTGTGTTGGAACTCTGGCGCACCAGTCTGGCGATGCGGCTGCCGGAAGGACCCCCTGCAGGGGTGCAGTGGGGATACTGGAAGCACTGGCCCTCTCCCAGCCGACCCTTCTCAAAAGCTGCACCCTTAGCATCCTGTGGCTGCAGATGGTGGTGGGGGAGGTCCTGCCGGCTTGCAGGGACAGTGGTCTTAAGCTCCCCTCATTGCCTCCCATTACTCACACAGGTGAGGGCTCAGTGAAGCTGCAGGCCAAAGCACCTGTTGCCCACGCCTTCTCCCAAAGGTGTGTGGGTGAGATTCAGCTTTGGCCAGTGAGGCTTTGACTGTGACTAGCAGCTTAGGAGCCAAGAGCACCGGGCTATGTCCATGGGCAGGCCGGACTGCACATCTCACAGCCTGCCCCACAGTCTCCCCAGTGGGAAAGGGGGCAAATCTTTGTGAGCCGCCCCGAGGCTTCGGCGAATGGGGAGGCATAGAAATTTTCTAAATAAATAAAATAAATAAATGAGCCAGGGGGTGGTGGGTTCACCCCTCAGGGGGGCAACCCGCCCCCTGTCCTCGTTCACACACCAGTCCACGGGAATGGCCACTGTGGTGAGGTGCCATCAAGTCCTCTCCAACCTGTGGCAACCTCAGGGATGAAAGCCCTTCAAAACGCCCCGTCCAGGACAGCCCTGCTCAGCTGGTCGAAACCCCAGGCTCCCACCCACCTCTCTTGTCCTTCTGCCCTTGCCTTTCCTGGCATGCTTGCCTCCTCCAGGGAGTGGGCACTAGCAACCAAGACCTGGAAGGGTGTGGGGAGGAGGTCCATCAGGGGCTATGACTGACCAGCACAGCCAGGCAGGCCCTGGGTCTCAGAAGTAAGTAGCACATCCGCCAGTGCCTGGTGGCCACTGCTGGAAAGACAATCCTGGGCACAGGTGAGCCCTGCTCTGGGCAGCCAGACCATCCTGGGGTCGTCACAGGCTCCGTGGGTGAGAGGAGCTCTGTGGCTGTTCCACTGGGGCAGCTTCCTTCCAGCAGGCTTGCCTGGTCTCCTCCCTTTAGGATGGCTGCTCGGAACAGGAGGAGAAGGGACAGGCGACCCAGGCATGGACCTCGACTCCCCCCGAGGAAGGACACAGCCGTGTGTCTACACAGCATGGCTGGATGGAGGATGGTTGGAAGGGGAGGCCTGAATGAGGTTGCACGTTAACTTGGGCTACTCTCCACAACTGTGTGACAACCCAGCACCTCTGCAAACCAATTAGCTCACTCCACCCAATGGATAGAGCAGACTGCCATGTTTTCTCTGGTAGTCTTCCCTCCCAAGAGAAGGCATTCATTCTCCCTGCTGTTCTAAATCATCTCCCACCACCCACCTCTTTTCTTGTCCCTCTAACACAGACTAGGAAGGAACTATGGACTTTTATATAGTATCTAAGATACTGGTGATGCTACCAATGCTAAATCAATAGTAAGGTAGGAGTAGTTACAACATTACTAGCAGTAGCAGTCTTAGTAGCTGGCTGTGAGACAGAGTAAGCTATCTGGTCTGTGTCTGCCCTAGCATGTTGCACAGGCATGTCAAATGGCTACTGATACTAGTAGTAAAGGATCCTCCTCCTACTCCCAACAGGAACAATGGCAATAAGGGGTTAGGATCAAGCACCGGTGCCTTCTGTGATCTCCATATCATGTTGTTGGTGCTCAAAATGCAATCCCACTGGAAGTGTTACTACATGATTACTACTGGTAGTAAGATCTTAGAACTGCTGTTTCTCTTTCTATAGGGCACCTAGCTATGACAAATGTGACAAGCTCCTACTAGGGAGTGACGAGGGCCCTGGCAAGTAGAAGACCGGCCTTTTCTGGCCCTGAGAGGCCCCCCGGCTGCCCCGCCCACACCGTCTTACCGGCTTTGACCGAGCAGTGGATGTGTGCCTTGGACTCGTAGTAGACCCAGTCGAAGCCGGCCTCCACGGCCAAGCGAGCCAGCATGCCGTATTTGCTGCGGTCCCGATCCGAGGTGGTGATGTCCACGGCACGGCCCTCATAGTGCAGCGACTCCTCGGAGTGGTGGCCGTCCTCGTCCCAGCCTTCGGTGACACGCAGCTTCACGCCGGGCCACTGGTTCATCACGGAGATCGCCAGTGCGTTGAGTTTGTCCTTGCAGCGCTGTGGGGCGAAGGAGCACAGGAGCATCGCCAGGGGGGGAAAGCACACTGCGGCACAACACCGGGACACAGGAAGGGCACAGGACCCCCACCACGCTGGGCCTGCCAGATCGCAATTCCCACCCTCCCCAGACAACAGGGGCAGGTGGGAGCAGTTGCCCCATGCATCTGGAGGGCAGCAGGTTTAAGAAGGCAGCGGGAAGTGGTTCCAGGGGCGTTTCCTCTCAGCTGCCTCGCCCCTGACCTGAGGCGTTCAGCCCAAGGCCCGGTCCCCAGGGAGGGTTGGCGGGGATCCAGTCCTTCATGCACATCCAAAGGGCCCAGCTCCCTTTGCCCTGCCCATCTGTTTCTATTTCTAGGGCTCACACGGGAGCAAGGGAAGGCCGTGAGCCACACAGCTGAGGCTTGATCCTCCTGCTTCAAAAGCAGACCTCTCGCATCATCTTAGGATGGCAGCGCTCAGAACCTCCTTCCGGCGCCTGTTTGGGGACTCCCGCCCAAGCGTGTGGCTTGCTCCTTAGGCTGCCCTGCTCCACCCCTCCTGAGGGAGGAAAGCCCGTTGGTAATAGGCGAGTAGAATTTCCTGCGCAAATTTTGGCTCTCCATTTAGGACGTGCGCAAGGGCTCTGGCAGAATTAGCAGGTGAGCAGAAAAGGGGAGACTCTGGGCAGACAAACGGCAGACCGTGGACAGCGAGGGCAGCAAAGCTGTGCAAACAGGGGACCAATTTCCAAGAAAACCCAGACAGGATCCACTCATGGGACTCAAGGAGGGGGGTGTGCCTGTGTGTGCGGGTGGGAGGGGACAAGGAGGCGGGCCAGAGAATGCTGAAGCCTGGAGGATGTATTTTCTGCCTAGATGAGCATGGATTTGCGCCTCTGCAGAAGAATCCTGCCCTGCCCCATTCACCCCACAGACACAGGCCCAGTGCACCCGCGTCGACTGAGCAGCCCCTGCCATCCCTCCTCCTGGTGCTGCAAAGGTGCACCTGGAAGCTCAGGGCGCAGCAGGTGCAGGCTTGGCCCCTTCCTCATTATCGGCAGCAAAGCAGCTTACTGGGAGACGCCGCTGTCATCTACTGGAAGTCCCAGCCCTCCCCAGCTCCCTCCCGCTCTGCCCTGCTGGCTGGCAGTAGGAGGAAAGGAAGCCCCACACTTCCGGGGCGCTTGGGAAGGCAGATGTTCTGGATCCCAGTACTGCTGACCATTGGCTGGGGCTGATGGGGACAGAGCGGACCAGCACAGAACCACAGAGTTGGAAGGGCCTAGAAGGCCATCTGGTCCGACCCCCTGCCCAGTGCAGGAGGCCAGTCTCCCACCCAACTATTAACCAGGCCTGATCCCACTTGGCCTCTGAGATTAGGCAGGATCGGGCTCTTCAGGCTACAGCGAGCGAAAGGCCAAAGTGTCCGGAGGGCGCCTGCTTAGGATAGACTCATCCAGTGTATCTGATGTGCAGCGCATTCCACGAGTGTGTGCTTGGTTGACTCACAGTCCCAGGACTAGAAGCGAACTGAGGCAGGAGTCTAAGAAAATGAGCGATGGACAGAGACAGAGCTGGACAGGAGGCTGATTTACACTGTTGCCTAAATGTAAAGCTCATCTGAATAACAAACAGCAGATCTATGAGTCAAGACAATGGGAGAGTTAGCCCTCTGATGCCAAACATGCTTATTCCAAGGTCCGTTTGGATCGTGCTAGTGGAGCCCACATGCCAGGTAGGATTGGGGAATAAGCCCCACCAAGACTTGCTGCTCAGCAGGCACACCCAGGGTCGGTCTGTGTGCTGGGTAGGAGCCCATCGTTCCATGCAATTCTATGCATGCTTGGCTGCAGGACTGCCAGAGCATTCATAGGACTGCACTCTGTGAACACACGCCTTGGGAACCCTTGTTTTCTGGAGTCCGCGTGGGACCGGCAACCACAGATTTTATTTGAAAATCTGTAGTGAGACTTTCTTAGGAGGGTCTACATGCAAAGTGCAGGGGAGTCCCTTTGGGTTCCATGAGGTATATTACCTGAGTAAGTCACTTACAGGTCAGCTTTCTGGAGGAGGGTCTTATTTCAATGCAATCCAATGCATGTTTACTCCCGAGTAAGTCCTACTGTATCCCAAGTGGCTTTCTCCCTGGCACAGCTTGTCTAGTCTGGAGCTCCCCACAGAGGTTGTCGGACTACAGTGTCCACAATCCCTGGCCATTGCCCATTGGCCATTCTGCCCGAGGTGCTGATGTGAGGTGGAGTCCAAGCAACCGGAGGACACCACATGACCCTGGGCAGATTATCTGGTGTTTAGGATTGCAGCTTCTCTACCTGTAGCTCTTCTCAAATATACAGGATCACATGTTAAAACTTTTGCTAAGGTAGGCTATTTTCAGACTCCATGGATGTCAAGGTATATGCGAACATGTTTGAAAGCTTCTGTATGCATAAAAAACAGATCACTGTACAGGGAGGAAAAACAAGACTAGGCCAAACCCTACCTCCTGAAACACTAGCTTTCTACCTGCAAGGCAGCTCTTTTCACTTGGGGAACATTCTGTTCTACTCCCCCTCAGGCCCCTACAAACCCACGGACAGCCTGAGATGCTACAGCTGACTGGTAATTTGATCTCACAGGCCCCACCACTTTTGTGCCACTTCTGTTACTCTTCCGTGTCTTCCTGTGCCGCTCATGGCAAATACCTTGTCATTGGGTTGGATCCAATGCTTAGCACAGATGCCCTGAAATCAGCCAGATATGAATTTGGCATGACTAACTCAAGGCTCATGGATCTGATTCCGGACTTGGGCAGAGAAGCAGACCGACTGAAGTCCCATGGACCTGCTCCATGCCTAAATCTGGTGTCGGCTCAGTCACGTCTACTTGGCTCAGCCCTTGCTACCTAGACTGGTTCATTTCTGGCCCTCTGCAGCCATTGCTGGTGGCTCCCTGCGAAGGGTAGGTCTGGTGCCCTCCAGAAAAGATGCCTCCAGATGTCTCAAACATCTGGAGGGTGCCAAGTGGGGAAGGCAGACCTCCTCCTCCCCCGTTCTTCCGCTATTAAGGAGAACAAAAGCGTCCCTGAAAGCCAGCAGGAGATATGAACTGTGTAGGGAAGAGAGGATGTGCCTGGCCAGGAGTCCAACAGCACCAAACTCGATTTCGGCATTGTGGGAAGGAAGGCAGTACTGGCCACCCCGTTTAAAGGCCTGCAGCCTGCTCTTCCGCGCTCATCTGCTCAGAAGTCAGTCCCGTGGCTGGTGAAAGGGGGCGGACTCCCGGGCCAGCTGAGAAGTGCGGGGAAGGTGGACGCACCGGTCCTCCCAGCGCCTCCTCCTGGGGCATCCGGCTCGCCTCGCGCCCCCGGCCTCCATCGCACCGCCCCAGCCAGAAGGGCTTCCGCGGAACCTCCCCACAGGGGCGCGGGTGTCTGTGCGCGGCCGCCCCCCCCCCATTGTGTTCGATGCGCTCCTGCTGGCTGCGCATTTCTGCGGATCGCCGCGAAAAACGTGCCGCTCCCGCGCCGCACTCCGGGAGGGCTTTGCTTCAGCAGCGGCATCATCCCCGCTCTGATCCGCCGCTCGGGTGACGGCGAGGATGCCGCTGAGGCCTCCGAGGAACAGCTTGCGCGGAGAGAGCCAGCCGAGCGCACGGACGGCCCCCTCGCCCGCGGGATCCCCGGAGGTCGCCCATGGGCGGCGGAGGGCTGGGGGGCGCCGGCCGCGCGGAGGTGCGGACGCCGCTAGGGAAGGCGCGAAAGTCCCAAAGCGAAATGGGGGCCGGGGGCGAGAGAAGTGCGTGGCGCAGGCCGACACGCGTCGCGGGCGGATGGACCGAGGCGGGCGGCTCCCGGCCGCCTGCTGGTCGATCTCCAAGGGGAAGGGCCAGGCTGGCTGAGCGGGAGCGGGAGCGGTCGCGTCCAAAGCCGTGAAGGCGCGGCTGTTCATTCATTCATTCATTCATTCATTCATTCATTCATTCATTGGGTCGTGCGCCACCGATCGAGCCCCGTCCCGCTCAGCCACCGTGAGCACAGCTGGATGCTCGCTCCCCCGGGTGCGCGTGCGAGAGCGGCTTCCCTCCCAGCTGGCAGTCGCCTGGAGCGCCCGCCCAGCCCAGCCCAGCCCAGCCCAGCCCTCTACCCTCGGTGGCCGCTTCCGGGGAGTAGGGCCCATCCACTCCACGACACGCCTTACACCGCACGTGCGCACCGGCCCGCGCGCACTTGCCAGAAAGACAGACGCCGCGTCACACCCCCCGAGACTTACTCCAGAGCCGAAAAGACAGCAGCTCGGGCTGCGGCAGTCCACGCTCCTGCGCCTCCGGCTTCGGGAGCACGTGTGCCACTGGGCCCGGGTAGGTGTGTCCAGGGGGCAGCCCCGGCCCTCCCGAAAACAGTGGGACGCCGCCGCAAGGATCGCCTCCCTCCAACCCCAGAAGCCAAGGCGCGGGGCACGGCCGAGTGCAAGGAACTGGGAGAGGAAGGGAGGGGGCGAGCTCGCCCCTCTCCGCCGCCTGACACTCGGGCGCCACGGCGGCCGGTGGGTGCCTGCGCGCCCATCCTGCTCCGTGCGCATTGTCGTCACCCCGATTCGTTTTATTTCAGACGAGTTCCAGCTTAATCATAAACGCTCTGGCGCTCTTATCTCGCCCACGGATCCAGCCAGAGGCCGCACGCTCTCGCTCTCCCGCGTCCGCGTCCGCCTGCGGCCCAGGCCTCCTGTCACCGGTATGTTCGGGGTGGCCCGCCTGCTCTGGAATCGCCGTGTTTGCCTTCTTCTCAACCCCCCCTCCCCGCCCCGTGCAGTTAATATTAACTAGGCGCTAATGCATGCAAGCAGCTATTCGGAAAGTTGGACAATTCCATGCAGGGCGCCCGATCTCGCCCCCCCCCACGCCCCCATGCCAAGGCTGAAGGAAGCAGGCAAACTGCTGAATGAGGCAGGGCACGAAGCGGGGGCGGCGGAGTGTGTGTGCGTGTGCGTGTGCGTGTGGTGGGGCGCCGGTCTGGGCCTTACACGTCCCTACCGCGGACATTCTCCGCTTCCACGGCAGCTCTCTGCCCCTCCCCCGCGCGCGCCTCCATCCCTCGCCGCTTCTGCACCGCGGGAGTCGCCCCCCCGGAAGAGCCCGGAGCGGGCGGATGGGCTCGGCCCGATCGCCCATGCCTTTCCCCGGGGCTCGCCCCGGCGCAGCTCCGCCGAAGCGAGCTTCGGCTGCCTGGTCCCCTCCGCGCCTCTCCGCGCTCGGCGGGTCCCGCCCGCAACCGAGGCGCTCGCCAGCTTCCTTCGCCCTCGCGCGACTCCCGGCCGGGGACCCCTGCCGCACCCGGCGCTCCGATGAGCCCTGCCCCGCGCCCCGCCCCGCCCCGCCCGCGCCCGCGCCCGGGGAGCTCGGAGGGCGCAGAGAGCCAGCGCCCCCGCCGCCACCAGCAGCACCTGGCATGGCCCGGAGGTCGCCCTTTGTGCGCAAGGAAGGGCGGGAAAGGGAAGGGTCACCGGGACGCGTGTGCGCGCGGGGGCGGGGGGGGGGCTCTGCTCTCTGTGTGGTTCGGCTGAGGGAAGTGGACAGGGGGTCAGAAGTTCAACGCTGCCAGCCCCCGCAGCGCGCAAGGCCGGCCAGCCGCGTGGAAGGAGCGGGAGCGAAGCCGCAGCCTCTCTCGGGTTACCTCCGGGGAGACAGGGCGGGCGAGCGAGAGGGGAGGCCCGGCGGGGGCGGCACGCGAGGGGGAGCTCCGTCCGCCTCGCCCCGCACAGGCGCACCCCTCTCGGGAGCCGCTCCCGCAGCGCTGCCTTCCGACGGGAGAGCCCTCCCGCCCGGCGAAGGGCGCTTGCCGTGCCGTGCCTTCGCTTCGCCCCGGAGAGAGGAGCCGGCGCGCCCGTCGGGGCCGCCCTCGCCGCCGCGAGCCCCACGCAGCAGGTGAGCGAGGGTCGAGCCGTCTGGACGGAGGCCCGCCCGCCTTTCCCGGGGCGTCCGCGCCGCGGCAGGCGAGCCGCTCCAGAAGGAGCCGCGGCCTCGGCCGGCCGCGCCGAGCAGCTGAAACCCGAGCCGTTGGGATCGATACGGGGCGCGTAAGTGGAGCTGCGAATGCGAGCGGGGGCGGCGCGCTGCGCCCGCTAAGCCGAGCGCGCCCCGTGCCGGCCGGGAGCGAAGGGCCGGCGGGGGGACGCGGCGGGGGAGCCCGGCGCGGGG